TTAAAAATAAGTTATTTTAGTTAAGGATGAGTGTAACATGATGTTAATACTCAAAGTAACACATAATTTTATATTTTAAATATATTGATTTTAAGGATTTTTCTAACCTTTTGTTAAGAGTATAGATTAAGAATGTACTAATTAAAATTTTTTTACAATTGATTAATATAGAAAAACTAAAAGTTGATTTTAAATTTATTAATTACCTAATTAAAATCATTTACGTTTGACACCAATGTTAAAAATAATATTTGTTTTTATATTTTTTATAAAAATTTATTATAAAAAATTATAAATGATGCACTCTTAAATGTACAAGTTAAAAAAAGTTTAACTTTAATAATAATAGAAGTTATTAGAATCTCTGTAACACATATGATTTATGTAATTGATCAAAATTTTAAATTATAATGTATTAATTTTAACTTGAAAAGAAAAATCTCAACCTTAATTAATCACCAATTGCATAACACTTACGTGCGTCGGAATGAAAGTTGTTAAACAGCGGGGTCCACTCACATACTGTTGATGTGGAATAATGTGGCACCAATTGGCAACAATTCATCAAAAAAAATATATTAAATTATTACAAAAAGTAGCACATTTTACGGCAAAGAAGACACCGTCAATGAAAGTTAGTGTAGTGTGAGAATAGGGAGGACAATGTTATGGAAACTTGGAATAAAGAGATGACAACAGCGTGATTTTGAAGAGTACAGTGATGAATTTGAATAATTTGTAAGTATAAAGAAAATAATGAATCAAAATTAAAAAGTAGAGGGACTATAATTGACTTTAACCCCCCCAAAAAAAGGGAACTTTCTCCGATAGTTAGAGATCCTGTGATGAGAGTTTTCCTTTCAATGTCTTGATTTTTTTTTTTTTGGTTTTTCGCTTGGTATCCCGGTTTCGCCCTGACTAATCTGGATTCGACCCGCGTCGCGCACCTGAAAATGGTGGGTGAGTCTGCCAATGAAGATTACTACGTATACAAAGTCTCGAACTCGAGACTTTACTTAAACTGAAACAAGCCACTTATCACTTGATTCAACCCCTCGTTGGTTTTCAATGTCTTGATTGATTAAGGCTTAGTTTGATAATATTGATATTATTTTATAATTGTCATTGTTAGAAATATTATATTGTATTATTATGAAAAGTATTTTAATGTTTAATAATTATATTTTTAAAAAATTATTTATTATAAAATTACTTAATTAGACATATTATTATATAAAATTAAATTAATTAATAATTTAATATATAATATACAAAAAAAAATTAAAAATTTTATTAAATTATTTAAAAATTTTATTAATTTTTAATAAAATAATTTTTGTATTCCTTACAAAAAAAAAGAAGTAAAGATAGATAATTTACTAAACACATAAATTATAAAAAGCTTTATATATAAAAATATGCGTAAAAAATATTATAGGTAACGTTATCAAACGAAATATAAATGTTGAACTTCTTTTGAAAAAAAAATTAAAATACATTGTATGAAAAATTAATAAATTTTTTAAAATTTTATTGAAAGGATAAATTTTTCGTATATAATAAAACATTAATATTAAAAAATATTATCGAGTTAGCCATACATCAATTTTCTCCCAAGGTGACACAACCACGATCCACCCAGCTGTTTGGCGAAAGACCCAGACGCGGCAAGGGACGATTCCTCTTATCATCATTTTTCACTCGAGAAAGGGGAGAGAAGGAAGAACAACGAGGGGTTGAATTAAGTGGTAAGCGACTTGTTTTAGTTTAAATAAGATCTCGAGTTTGAGATCTTGTGTATGCAGCAGCTTCCGTTAGGAGACTCACCTACCATTCTCAGGTGCGCAACGCGAGTCGATCC